TATCACCTGTTTCAATATTTATGTTGCCAATACAAAGATCAACAATATTATTTGCATTTCTATTTCATTGTTAAGTACACAACAATCTAAAGTGTGCAATAAAAGACCCTGAAATGCCTAAACATATTATACATTGTCATACATCTTTCATATATCACACAACATATATTTTATTAGTATTTCGATTCATTTTGTGTAAAGGATACAAGTAAAACGTATCCTTATTAGGAATTATGTCAGGTTGTGGAATGGGTGTCAATGATAATTCAATCCTAGTTTTGGGATCAAACACAGACTGATGCAAGAACGTGTTATTTGCAACTGAAAATGCAGAAATGTAACCATTGGGTATGCTGATTGTCCTGGCACCAATCAGTTTTGCCATTTCTGGTAATGCCTATAAAACAAAAATCTGTTATTGCATAATTTGAGTCCCATTTGCACTTCTATGCAATAAAGTTATTATAAACTAAACTAAACTACATGTTAGCATTTTACTTAGAAATGCATTAAACTTAACACATTTTATCCTATTCTTATAATAAAATTAATTTAAGCAACATATCATACAGTCACCTTGATATAACAATATTATAAACAACACATGAGTTATGTATAAAATATCTAATACAGACTGTACCTTTTCGATTTTTAAATTTGCCCTTGTATATCTCTGAATAAAAGCATGAGCCCTCTTGATCCCAATACCACTAATATTTTTGAGGTAGTCACATCCAGCAATAATGCACATATATCGGAAGTGTTCAAATTTGAAATCTTTGACACCCATGAATTTACAAATGTCCATCCGTCTAATGACTTTGCAGGTCCCATTTAGTTCCAACTTGTATATGACCTGGTTTAAAAACATTAACAATTCTTTAAACTAATTCAAATTCAAAAAATTCCTCAAAATAATTGAACCTTATAAATGCATCCTGAAGTTGGGTGTGGAAAAAAAAAATTACCAGAATTTTAGTTGACAGTAATGAAAATTTTCTCATTAGACTTTTTTCATTTATAATTTTTCATTAACCCATTAAGCTGCATTCCTCCTTGACGAGTAAACTCGTCTGGCATTAGAAAAGTAAAAAAAAGTGGGGCGCATTGCGGCTCAATGGGTTAAATAGGTACATTTTCAGATTTTTTTGGTTAACCCATTAAGCTGCAGAGCCTCCCCCTTGATCAGTAAAATCATCTGGCGTTAGATAAGTAAAAAAATAAGTAGGACGCACTGGGGCTCAATGGGTTAATATCACAATAATGTAAAAAGTATTAATTACCTCTTTACAACCAAATGCAAGTAAGTCGGAATCTTCTGTTATAATCGCATTCAAATGACCCTGCGATTCCAAATATGTTAGTTGGGCATCTGCTTCAAATGGAGCCACAACATATTCGACTCCCATACCTTTTAATGTCTGAAAATATAAGTGTAGTCAATAACTATCAGTAAACTTTAGCTTAATTTTAAAAAATAATGGTATGTGTGGAAATTTGACATTGCATGTGCTTGATGTGATTTATAGCACATGGAGTTCAAGTCCAAATGTAAACAAACAGGTTGACGTCAGTTTGTTTACATTCACGCTATATTTAAAAAATACGATGTGTTTTGGTTTGCTGCAAATAAATATTGATAGAGTTTCTGATTTAGAAGATGTCGAAACAACAATGAAACAAATTTCAACATTGTTTACATATGTCTGATCATATCAGGATCTCACATAGGTAATAGCACATGCACAGAACAGACTTAAACGCCTCTTTTACCAAATCAACATACATTTTTATGCCAATGCCCATTCTATTAATAAAATTTATAATTTGAATACCTCAATTGTGGTTAAAACCATATTCCATGTCACTTTCAGGGCCTTTTGGAAGAATCCAGCAGCTGCTGTTTTGTCGTTGCAATACCAGAGGGCTTTACCCTTTCTTAATGTATCTTTTCTTGTACTATAAGAAATAACATTACACATACAATACTGAATATCAATATGAAGAAAGATATGTTTTGGTCACAAAGACTAATATTATTATTATATAAATTATTGAAACTATACCTTTCACGAGAGCGGTTCACATTGCTTTTTGCTGGGAGTTTGTTTCCATCAAACACCGCAATAGGCTTAATATCACTGGCTTGCAGAAGCCTTATAACTTGAACTAGGTAGTCGATGTATCTAGTAAATACAAATACGACTTACTTCTTTATATTGTATCACACAAAACACAATTCCACACACTCATTGAAATTGAATATTTTGAATACACAATGACTCATTCAATGAGCAACAAGAATATTCATACGGCGACACTCATTAATATTTAATGATTTTGAGTTGTAAAACATATGTACTTACTTATTCGTTGGTATTCCATGGGCCAGTTCTGTAGCACAAGAATATGCGCCTTTGTAAAGATAACAAGACGTATCAATTCCAAGCGATTTCCCTGTATACTCTTGTATAGACGAGTCCTTGGTTATAGGACGAAGAAAGCCAAGAAGGCTGTTAATACCCATTTAAGAACACGTCGGCTTCCAGACAAAAAACAAGCGACAAATGAAACAAAATAATGCACAAGTGCGCGCTTCAATACGGCTGCAATTAACGAAGTTATTTTATAATTTCTCGTGTCCTGTTCCTTTCTCGATGAAGGTCAAAATGCAAATGAACTTCAAAATTAAATCACAAGAAATCTACCCATGAGCCTTTGCGGGCCGTGGCCAACCTCCTCTGGTTCGGAATTGCGTTGTTGTTTCAACTGGCGACCAGTGCTTCCACTTTGAAAAACCAAAAAATCCTTTTTTTATCCTTATTTTGACCGAAATTTCCTTCAAAAAATTGTGAAATTTCCTCCAAATAAAATTACGTCGAATATTCTCCAAAATAGCCTTTTCTCAACATAACAATCGTCTGAATGTTCAACTTTATCATTGCTCTAAAGTCTAAACACAATTATATGACTTTGTTTTCGCCCTCTTTTCTCCCGCCCGCACTAAACGCCTGCTACGCAGACTAGGCCAGTAGGCTATACCATATTCATTAGATAATTTTATAGATGATTAAATATAGGCTACACTTTCTACTAGAGGTGTGCATCGGATCGGATTGGACGTTTATAATCCGACAATTCCCAAATTGTCTAATCCGAATCCGATCCGAGTTTTGATAGACAGTCCCAATCCGATCCGATCCGATGAATTATTTAATAAAATAAATTTCTCATTCCAGTTGAAATATTTAACCAAATAAATATTAAAGCAAGAAATACATGTCAAGAAGCTGACAAAGTGACGTCCAATAGTGAAGTATCAAACAAATAATGCAGCGACAACCGCGATAATGCTTTGATAAATGCATGGATAATTGATTCTTGCGATAATGCGTGGATAATTAATTCATTTTATTTCGGATATCGAGGTCCGATCCGACCACGAAACAACTTTATCAATCTGATCCGAAATAAATATTTTGGTTCCGAAATCCAAACGAATCGGATCGGATTCGGATCGGTTTCGGATCGGATTTGCACACCTCTACTTTCTACTTTCCGATAAATATTGTTAGCAGATTGAGATTTATTTTACGCTTTATTTTCAAAATATATTAAATATCACCAATTTTGGCGATATTTTGCTTTTTCCTTTAAATTTCCTTCGTTCTTCTTGAATTTCCTTCACATTTCCTTCAAAATTTATTTCCTTCAAATTTCCTTCACTTTGCAAAAATTTCCTTTCAAAAAGAAATTTACTTGAAAGTGGAAGCTTTGCTGGCGACGCTCCGTGAAAAGAGGGATATAAAAGGATAGGGTAGGGATAATAAGAGTTCACAATTTTACAAGTGAAATTTAAACCGACACATCTAATAACGGATTAGTCTTAATATGCCGAGAGTAGGCCTGCTGTTTTTGCAATCTCACAAGGATAACATATTTGGTAGATTTAAAAAAAATGGCGTGGTAATCAACAGAGTTGGTCGAATAACAATATATCCAAACGTATTAGCTCATGAAGGCGAGGAATATACATGTCCTATATCAAGACGATTAATCAGCAGACATGCTTGTTTCGGCGGTCTGTCGGCGGTCAACGCATAAAATCGTTTTCTTATTTCAAGAAAAAAAATCTTGTTTCAAGAATTATTTTCTTGAAACAAGAATTTTTTTACTAGGGAGAATAGCGAGAAATATTTTCTAACTGAGAAAATATTTCTTAAAATATTTCTTAAATTAAGAAAAAACATTTTCTTGTTTTAAGAAAAATATATCTAATTTCAAAATTATAATGAAACATTCTTCTAGCGCACTTTTTCTTCAAAATAAGAAATTTTATTAGAACTAGAAAATTTTTCTTAAAGTGGAAGTCAAGTCCGTTCTGCGCATCGGTTCTGCTCATAACAATGTGAGGACCTCTAATGTGAACATTGCCCAAATTGCGAATGTTTCGAATTTTTCAGAACATAAACTCTATTTTATATTCATTTAGAAGCATAGCGAACCAAAATGGTGTTAGATATTCAGACAGTACATCATATTTTAAAAAATACAGCAGCTCAAAATGTAAACAAACCGTTTGTTTACATTACGGACTTGACTTCCACTTTAACTGATTAGGAACACTTTTCTTAAATAATAAGAAATTAAATCTTATATTAAGAAAATATAACTTGTTTTAAGAAAATATTTCTTAAGACAAGAAAATTTTTACTAGGGAGAATAGCGAGAAAAATATTCTAATTAAGAAAATATTTCTAGATGAATCATTTTCTTGTTTTAAGAAAATATATCTTATTTTAAGATTAACCTTCCGAAAGACTACAAGATACTTCTGACTAGATAAAAAAAAGATAATTTTTTCACCAAACGTTCTTAGTTTAAGAAAAAACTCTCATTCTAAGAAAATAACTTATATATTTATTGAAATAGTAGTTCTGATAGCACAGCAATGTGTTGTAGCGAATTGAGTTTCTCCTAAAGCCATATTTTGTTTAACATTTTGTCCACTTGACAATCAATATTATCTACCATGATTGTTCTTTCACCAAGTCCATTGATTTCGTTCATGTACATTTAATTAATACTGTTCCAAACACAGCATGCAATTGCCATCAGAGATCCATCATCTTAGAATCTGTAAAAGGAAAATTTTACTTATTGAAAATGTAATCGTTACTTTTTAGTTTTTACAAAATATGCCAGAACAATGGACCTTGAGACTTGCGTCCTAAACGAAGTCACTCCTCATTAACCTACAGTGTATAAGGGCCTACTAACTGTGGATGTAATAAACAGTCTTTATTTAACCAATAACAAGGCCAGTTCATATTGGTATGTACAAGGTGGTGCAGGGTATGACAAATATATACATATGTTAACCTGAGAGACAAGCTTTCTCCAGACCTGTACCCCGTAGAATACTATCAGGTGCCATCAGGTATCTGGGCACCATCCGGTATCCGGCTACCATCTGCTATTCACCCTCTGGTTTTAGGCAAACCACCACCTGGTGCATTCTTCTGGCAAAGACCAATGCTATTTTAAAAAGTAATAACCAATAATCAGCAAGCTTAGTTTCACCAGACACTAAATTTTGTTGCATCATACTTTATTATTTTACTCTGTCTAACCACCAGACAACTTTACTCGTCAAGGGGATAGCAGTGGTGCTCAATGAATTAATCAGACTATATGCCCATGTGTCAAGTTAAAACCATTTAGTTGCATTGTGCACTAGTGTCTAACTTGCCATTTGGGAACAACAGTCTGAGCTGATAATTATTATTTAGCCAAGTAGATTATATCAATTAATTTACGAGTTGGCATGTGACAGTTGCAGTTTAAAGGGGAATATATCTTGTCCACTAAATATGATACTCAACTGACTGTCTTCTTTTATAAAAAAATTTAACTCAATTATACAGTTAGCATTACTGTATTGCAGTAACATTACATTAACCCTTTAAGTGCCAATGCACCAAGATGGCCCTACTTTATTATTTTACGCTGTCTAATGCCAGACGATTTAACTCGTCAGGGACTCAGGGGAAGAGTGCTGCCACTAATTGGGTTAATACAGTACACCAGGACCCTGGACATGTACATTTATTTGGCATTGAGATAGTAAGAATAATCTAGTAGTATGGCACAGATAAAATTGGTACCAGTACCAAATTTATCCATTCTCGGCCTGTGTGAATAGGGCTGTGTGAGTACAGTGTCAACAGGCCTTAAAATGGGCTACATTGGGGGTATATTTAGGATTCACATGTAATTGTGTTGTTAATATTTATTAAATTCTTGATGCAGTATCAAGAAATGTAATAATTCCTAAAAAAACCCTCCTTGTACGGGCTGTTTACAAGATCGAGGCTGATTCGTCTGGCCAACCTCGTACCCAGGTTCTCAATCGGTATCGGCTGGTCACGTGACCCTTCATATTTTGGCGGATTTGCTAATCCGTTTTTAGGGAAAGGATACTAACAGAGATGTTTTGTTCTGTAATGTTATTTTAACAATATTAATGTTTACTACAATATCTACTTACTATACTTTCCCTACTTCAATACTCCGATACCAGGGTCTCAATTCAAGTGAGGTAGGAACGAAGATTGACAACCTGGGTACAAGGCTGTCGTCTGGCTGGCCCGACTTGCAAGTGCCAAGATCTGGCCTTGTACGTGTATATTGTTTTATATGTTTTTGAGATTTTATTCACATGAGAACCGGACTGGCCCGGTTAATTTGATGGGCTCCCGTTTGAGAAAGGCAAGATCGCGCCTTTCCCGGCCCATATGAACACACTTAATGTGAACACACATATAAGAGTTTAAAAAAATAACATTAATCAACAATATTAAAACTTCTGAAGCCGTTTCCTTCAATAAAAAAAGCATTTTCAAAGTTAAAACCAAATATCGCTTTCCCACCATTTAAAATCGTTTGGGAATTTCTGATAGCACTTGCCAGGCTAGCTCGCCTCATGTGAAACAAATAACAACTTGCCTGACAAAGCAAGCTAACTTGGTTTAACGGGCCAGCCTGGCTCTTATGAACAAGTCCTGGGTGGCCACCTTAGCTGGGCCAGTTTGTCAATTTCTTCATATATAAAGCACTAAAAGCAGACTATTTATTCTTGTTAATTCTTACCTTACAACAACAGTTTGTCATTTTAATCCAGAAATCCCTGATTGTTGAGAACAATATTTGGATCCGGGCTATCGCCCAGCCCCAATATTAATCTGAAAATATATTGTATAGAGTACATTTCAGGCATTGTGTCACGGCTAGTACATCTTCCAGCATTTACAAACATGTTACACAACTGAAACTCATTAAGGACTTGCAAGACGTGAAATTGTCTGGCATTAGACAAAGTAAAGCAACAGTAGGGATGTATTTGGGCACATTTGCAAGCTTTATAATGGGTTAAGAAGGCCTACTCTGGGACCTTAACTCGCCCTAACTCGCCTTATCTCGCAATAGAAGTTGATCAAATTTTGCTTAACTCGCCCAATCTCGCCT